GAAATACATAAAGCAAAAACTGATCGAGTTATAAGGAGAACTCTTTTTGACATTTTAAACATAGTTTTATAAGAAATGATTAAACATTAGGATATAAAAGATGTGAAGAACAAGCCAGCTTTATCTAAGATATATGTAGTATTCCACTACGGTATTTTCATTCTATTTCATTATTAATGTCTAATAACAAAGAAACAGATTAATAAGCCACAGAAATAGAATGCTCTAGACTAGGGGTTGATCATGTATGGCTCAGAGACTAAAGTGGCCCACTGCCTGTTTTCTATGGTTTGCGAGCTAAGAATGGTTTCCACATCTTTAACTTGGTTGGGAAAAAAAAAAGTTTAGTATTTTGTGACCCGTGAATTTGAATTCAAGAAATTCAAATCTCTGTATTTAAAAATAAAGTTTTATTCGCACATGGACACACCTGTTCCTGAATTGTCTGTGGTTGCTTTCTCACCCCAATAGCAGAGTTGAGTGGTTGTGACAGAGTCCATATGTCTGTAAAACTTAAAATATCCTCTCCCTGGCCCTTTACAGAAGAAGTTTGCTGACCTCAGCTATAAGAAGCTGGGAAAATAAATTCACTAGAGTGGCAGCTATGGACCTGGATAAATCCTAAGGAGTAACTGGAAGGGAAAATGCAAGCTATAGAGTATCTGCAGTATAAGAAATTTTGTAAAGTTTTAAAACAAAATGATTCCACATAGTCTTTGTGGTTACTAACATATGTAGAATTTAAAAACATGTATAGGAATGACAAATATCAAGTTCTGCATAGCAGAACTGAGAAGGACAGAATAGAATTAAGGAGGGTACTGGATATTTCAACTGTATCAGTATTGCTTTATTGCTGACAATAAAGCCTAAAGTATAAATAGCAACTTGTTCAGTAGAGCTCGGTAGTACGAACCGCGTCTTCCTTATGTTTATAATTTCATATTTTAAATTTTTTTTCAACATTTATTTATTTTTGGGACAGAGAGAGACAGAGCATGAACGGGGGAGAGGCAGAGAGAGAGGGTGACACAGAATCGGAAACAGGCTCCAGGCTCTGAGCCATCAGCCCAGAGCCTGACGCGGGGCTCGAACTCACGGACCGCGAGATCGTGACCTGGCTGAAGTCGGACGCTCAACCGACTGCGCCACCCAGGCGCCCTATAATTTCATATTTTAAAAGTCCATTTAATAGAGCATGTGGGAAGTGAGGAAGTAGAAAAGGAAATTGTAGACCACTCTTTCAGGCAACATTGTAAGAAAGGATGAATGAAGCATGGATTGATAAGAAGTCACTATCGAGGTATCAAAGTCTTGCTGTAAAGGAGTTTGTTGATGACAAACTCTTAAGCCTTATTGTTTACAGTTGAAAGAACTAATCTTCATCAACAGTATCTGTGTGTAACTTGTCAATGATTGTGAATGATTACATCCGTGAGTAATCATTTTTCTTCTGGGCTTTCTAACCAAATGGTCTTTTTTTTTTCTTTTTAAGATAGCTTGCCATCACCTGTCTATCCAACATATAAAATGTCTACTCCTTGGGGCACCTGGGTGGCTCAGTCAGTTAAATGTCCAACTTCGGCTCCGCCCACATCGGGCTCTGTGCTGACAGCTCAGAGCCTGGAGCCTGCTTCAGATTCTGTGTCTCCCTCTCCCCCGCTCTCTCCCTCTCTCTCTTTCAAAAACAAATTAAAGCATAAATTTAAAAAAAAAAAAAAACAACAACAAATATAACCTCTACACTTTCTTCTATTTAAGTGAAGACTGACAGAAAGAAGGAGCCTGTGGCACATCAAGCTTCCTTGGATCATAAGAGCCGCTGAAGGCTAGTGGGTTTCACAGTCTGAAAACCAGCAAACTGGTGTCCCAGCACCAGAGGCTGCAGCTGTATTTGTGCAGATTGTGTTCTCATACGGGAACCCCAGGCAGGGACTGCTTCCTTAAGCCCTATGGTCCTGACCTAAGACGCAGGAGGGAGGGGAAGGTCAATCAGTCTGGAGGAAGAGCTGGCTTTTCCTAATGCACCCATCATGTCCTGAATTATCATGGTGGCCCTGATGTCACCATACCACAGCCATTAGAGTTTAGTGAAATTGATTCCAGGACCACTACTCCCCACCCACCAAATACACAGGGCTTTTCTCGGTTTTTCTCAGAACCCAGAACTACCCCCACAGTAGGCTCAGCAACATTCTCTCATCACACCTTAGTAGCTTTTGTGAGTCTGCCTCTAAAATCTTTGCTCTAACATAATGAGAGTGTGTGCAATAGAAAAAAATTTTGATTTGAAGTCAGCAAATTTAGCCCAAATCCCTCTTTGTTGCCTACCACCCAGCCAACTTTGAACAAATTTCTCAACATGACTTTTAGATTCTTATCCTATAAAATGGTAATGATTACAGTACTGACTACTTCACAGATGGTAATTGAATCAAAATGAGATAAAATGAAAACCATGTTATAAATCGTAAACTTTATATAAATATAAGGTGTCATGAATCTGCCACTGAAAAGCGCCCTCCCACACACACACCACCACCCAGCAAAACTGACTTTTCCTGAGAATGGAGTCATGAAACATAGGCAGTAATGGAAATACCTTAAATATTGGAGAATTCCATTCAAAACACTCACCTACAAGAAAAATCTATAGGAATTAGTGTTTATATGGTGCATTATAATGTGTTTTATAGCACACATTATCTCTTTGATTCTCCGATTGTTCTGTGAGATGGGCATTATTATTGCCATTTTGCAAATGTGGAAACTGAGCCACAGAGCAATAAAATGGCTTGTCCAAGGTCGTACAGCCAGTAAATCGTAAAACCGCAGCTTAGTCTGAGCCTTCCAAAGTCTCCTAGCTCTTTCAACTACACCACACTCTTTCAAAGTATTGAGTAGTCTGTCACGGCATAGCAAGAATTTTCTAGAACACATAGGGCCAATTAACTCAGATGGTAAAGATGGGAGAAGTAGGAAACTACTTTCTTAAACTGAGTTTTATGCTTCTATTTCTGGAACAGTTCTGATCCTCCACACCCTGCAGTTGTCAAGATGAGGGAGTTTCTTGTTTTAACTTTAAAGGTCTATACTCCTGCATAAATAAAGAGAGCCTTCAATAGCTAACATCTCAGGAACTATCAAAAGAAAGCTAAGGGCTTGCTTTCTCTGTCAGAAATATTATACATTATTAAACTGTAGAACACTCATTATGAGCAACAGTTTTATGAAAAAATACCAATACCCCAAATCTATCATTCTTTAAAACTGCTGCTTATGAAAACAAAAATACCAGATACATTTGAATTTTGAATCACACAAGATGGGGTCTGTGATACTCATTAGAGTCATTGATTATTACATTTGAACCCAAGACATAGTAGGTACAGATTGCTGATCCTGTCTCGAATTCACACAACAATCAATACAAAGACTGAATAATGCTAACATTTAGATTTATCTTGGATTGGGAAGGTTTCTGTTCGTGATTTTAGAACAATGTGTTGGCATGAGAGCAAAACACCACTCTTATATTCCCTTGGGCTAAAGAATTTTCAGTAGCTGGTGTTTCTGATCTGACTTCCCACTATCAGCTTTTATGTCTCTAGATTACAATTTGTCCTCACAAGTGAAGCAGTATTTGATCGGTGGCAAGGGACGTGCCTACAAGACAGTTCTGCTTGTGATTGTTTTCCTCTTCAATTCAGCAAAGAGCAACAGCAGGGGAGTGCAGAAGTAGCACTCCTGTCTCAAAGCAAAAAGGAACTTGCGGAAACCAAAGGACGGAGATTGATACACCTGTAAGATAAAAGCCAAAGAAAAGAAATCGAAGATCACATCCTTCATCTCTCAACACAATGTCTCGCCCTGCACACAGAAGACCAGAATACCATAAAATAGTAAGATCTTTTTATAAACATATTCTCAAAGAGGCTTTTCTTCTACTTCGAAGAAAATATTTTCTTCAGTGATTTCTGATTTATTTTAAAAAGTGACACTATAAACAGACTTTTTTCAGTGGGAGCAAGGGAGTGTTTAGTGGGTTGGATCATAAATGATACCTCTGGGAATAGTACAGTGATCAGTGATCTCTAACACTTTATAACAGAATCGATTCTCTATGCATATTTTAGGGTTTTCCTTTCTGACTAATTAGATCTATACAGTGCCAAATGTATCTTCTGTCTCTGACGGAAAATATGAAAAGATTAAGCAATTCTTTGTATTTCATACTTAGAATTCTTTGTATTTCATACTTCATGAACTGGCAAGTGAAATGTATATAAAATAGTTGATTACGTGTTAAATTAACAGGAATAGATCAGCAAGAAACTCAGTATTAAAAGATTATTGCTTTTGGAAATATATTTCCTTGTTTTAAATGTATCTATCATTATAATTTTGTATGTGCTACTGTTCTTTCTGTATATTCCAAGCTCAGAGTTATTTTTAAAACTTATTTACAGATTATATTTGGAAAAATATTCCTCTTTAATCCTCTATTAGGCATTTAGAAGTTACAGAAGTGAAAATTTATCATTACACTTAAAGCTCTTTTAATTATTTCAGGAAACTGATGAGCATTGGATAAAATGGAGGAATCTCAGTTATGGGTATTTGGAGTTGTATGATTAACTGGCACACCCCAGTTGGGAATGCCTGCAGGTGCCCCCTTTGGCATTCTGGGATCCTGACTGATTTTTATGTGGGGCTCTGAAATACGAAAAGATATTGTAGATTTCACACTGCACCTAAATCCCTTCATTTATATATCAGCTAAAACATACTTTTATCCTGACATCTCCAAAGCCTCAAATAACTAATGGTGTTCTATTTTTCGTATGTGAAAATGACTGTCTTTATTGTTTTATAAACTGTGAAGACAAATTCTATGTTGACCTTTTCTGTGATCAGTAGTATGGATTTGAGACCCTCCCGGACATGTAGTTCAAGGTTCAGCCTTTTACTAGGAAGCGGGATGGAGAAAACTGGCCCTCATGGGTATTGAACTTGAAACCCAGCTGCAAGTACAGTGTAGTTAGTACTCACCCATCAGAGTAAGAGAGAAAAAGAAAGAAGCAAATGCCATGATTTCAGGTTGGCCATAATTATAAATGAGCACAATGCTACAGCTCTGGCATGTAAATAGGGTATAATTTTATTTCCTTTTATCTCTTTTTCAAATTCTTCTGTTTTATTGCTGGTGGCAACAAATACATTATCAGTCTTTCTGTCTCTCTTGCCTTCACTGGTGCCCATTTTTATGCTGTGGTATTACCACATAGCAGTAATTGATCTTCTGTGGTGGCTCCTTACATTAGGAAGATATTTCATGTATAATTTACAGACATTTCTTATAGTGGATGATTAGGTTTTTAAAATTAAATGAGAACAGAACAAAAATTGAATATATTGTGACCCTTCAGTGATTTTGTTTAACAATATTTTTGTTAAAATCACTTGCTTTACATTTCTTGTTTTCTACTGGAAATATTAATATACTTATTATTTTATTATACCTGACTCATATATGTATTAGTCCTTGATGTAATGTTGATTAATATATCTAACATATATTCTACAGACACTTAGGACATTTTAACTTATGTTTTCAATATGGACACAATTTTTCACTACACCTATTTAGGTTCTATCCATTTACAACTTATTTAGTTATAACAAATATTCATTCTGATTAAAGAAACATTTCTTGTGATATAAACCCACATATAAGGAAGGAGACTCTGGTGGTATTGGGCAAATTTTGTAAGTATTTGGATCAAAATTATATCATGTTTTACAGAAGCTACTTTGTTGAATAAACAATTTTATTGATTTGTTGAGCCATTTCTGCCTGTGCCTTAAAAAAAAAAAAAAAATGAATGTATCTTATCAGATCTTATCTTACCCTCCACATTAGGCTACCCAAGATACCTAGGTCTAGGTCTAGAGGTAAAGACGCCTCTTCTAACCTGGAATTCACATTTAGCTTTTCGTGATAATACAAGATTATGCACAAAATAAGATTATTTCCAACAGTGGTTCTCCTCCCTACCTCTCCCTGTCACCCACTTCTACTTCAAATAGGTCTCTTGTGCACCTGAGAAATCATCACTACGTCCAAGTGGAGCCTGTAGTCTCGGGCTCCTCCCTGGCTCCCAGTTGATGGCTGGTTGGGCAAGTCATTCCCTCCTCTGTAGGACTGAGAGCTTTGGAATTGATTATCTCTAATACCTCCATCCCTTACTTAGACAGTATTCAAGAGCAGAAGCAAAACCGAGAGACTTCTTTAAATGGATTGACTGAGATTTGTGTGTTCTGTTTCCCCTATTTTCTACCTGCCTATACTAAACCAAACCTAAATTATTCTTAGTTGTCATTCTCATATTTACTTCACTCTGAAAATAGGACATATTTTGGAGTTCTATTAGGAAAGTACAAATTCTCCTTTTTTCACTGTGTAAAGAAAGTAACATCTCACAAATTTGCTGCTCTAGTTGGGTTCCTGCTGATGGTCTCCTTGGCAGATCTGGAACCCCTTAGGGATTGTGCAGATTCATGAGAAGGCTCACCCAATTAATTATTCCTTCCAACTGAAACATGGTCGGCCAATACCAAAGCCCATTCTACAACAGAAATTTATACTAGCAATTATTTTTTTTAAAAACTTCCTCCATGAAAATACATTGCAAGTTATAGAATGTAAGCAATAGATGCAGAGATTTTTCCTGTTCAGAAATTTATTTTATTTTATAGCTCTTTTTCTCATCAGCAATGTATCCAGATATAGATACAACTCACTCTCAAAAGTCAAAATGGTTGCAATAATTAGCAGGAGGGTAGAAAAAAATGAACAGATGATCTCAAAGACTGCTTCCATTGGAAAATTTTGTCAAAAAAAATAGAGTAGCATGTCGCCCTTAGCTTTGCCTATAAAGTAAAACTAATTCTTTTTTCTCTAGAACAAAGATCTCTTTGTCCTCACCTATGGAGCTCTGGTTGCCCAACTGTGTAAAGATTATGAAAAAGATGAAGATGTGAATAAATATTTAGATAAAATGTAAGTAGAAGTCTTGTATTCTCATAGAATGTGCACTTTTTTCTTAACATCCTCTGCCTTTTGTCCACCTGTAAAGACTGCTTGCTCCGCTTTCCCAGCTCTAATATTTCAACAAATCACATTTTAAAGCTGAACATAATTTCTGACAACTGCCATTTGGGTTGTCATAAAGCATAATGTAACAGGAAGGAAACTTTTTTCTATGAAAGTCAAGCATGGAACATTTTCTTTTTAATTAGAAATCATTTCTTTGCTAGTCACGTGTAAGCAAGGGTATGGTAAAACTAAGATTGTTCTTTCAACAATGTGATGGGTCATCAAATTTGATTCTTTCCAGAAGTCTTCTGTTCTAATAAAACTCCTTCTAACATATAAATATATACTTATATAAGTATAGACCATGTATGGAAGGATATGCAAAAAATTAATAATGGCGATTGCCTGAGAGAACTTGGAGACAGGGATTATGGGTAGAAGAGAGGTTTATTTTTTTCCTATGTAGTGTTTTCATTGTTTGAATGCTTATACCATTGTTATGCTTTACTTAAAAATATATTAAAGGGAGAAACCCACTTCTTCCTTTTAAAATAAAGTCCATTCTCTTTGTCTTCATTAATGGAGATTCCTTCTGTACAAATTCAGCCTTTAATTTTCTCAGAATAATTATACGACCATCAGATTATTGCTCAATAATAAAATATCTTTCAACATTTTTGGAACCTCTTAATTATGGATCCTGAAAAGGACTCTAACTGGGCAGTGACTGGAAAACCTGTCCTAAATAGAAGATTTAGTTAGAAAGGTTGAAGGGGAAATCCAGCCTAGTTGAGCATTTTAGGGCTTCTAAAAAGGGCTCGTTGTGTTTTGAGGTGGAAAACAAAAAAGACAACATAAAGGAAAGCTTGAAAGGCTTTTTTTTTTTTTTTTTTTTTTTTTTTGTTTTATGTAAAAAAAAAAAAAATAAATATTATATTGTTAAGATGTTTTTTTTTTTTTTTTTTTTTTTTTGGAACCATGGTTTACCTCCTTTCTATGCTTATTCTTTTTCTATTGGAAAGCTCTTTTTTATTGTTTTGTGTTTATTTTGGTTCACATAACTTAGTTTTCATTTCTTCTTAATTAATCAGGAGTACTTCCCAAGATAGTGTCTGGAATAGTGGGAGTTGCTTAACCTATTTACATTTAAGTCATACTTCAACACGTGATACGGTATTTTCTGGAGTACACATCATTTTATGTAGCTTATGTTAAATTCACATTGTTTTGTGAAACAGATATAGAAAATGAAGAAACTCATTTGGCTGACTAAAAAAACATACTTTGATTAGCACTTGGGTGCACAGTTTAACAAATATGAAATATGAATGAAATATTGAAGAATAAATTCTGAGAGTCTGTGGAAAGGCATTGCCTTAAGTAAAGCAATAATTCACATTTGGATTTCTTTAATAGCTTCTGCTGAAAACATCTGACATTTTTAACTCAATATATAAACTATCTACAGAAACATACACTTTGATCAACGCAAGATGTGTGTGTGTGTGTAGCGTGTATGTATTTGTGTGTGTTATATGTGTATGTGTGTAGTTTGTATCTATGTGTGTGGTATGTATATATGTGCATGTGTATAGTGTGTATATATGTGTGTAATATATATATACATATGTGTGTGTGTGTGTGTGTGTGTGTGTATACTTACTGTGCTGACTGTAACATTTTGGCCTTCTATCACCCCTCACTGTCCAAGCCTGTGGATATGCATAGAGATTAGAAAACGCCAGAAACATTTTTTTAAACGCAGTACAACCATTTCTGTAAAGTATATACTCTGTTCTTCAAAAGTTTTTTTTTAGTGCGAACTTTCTAGCTAGAATCACAAAACAGTTTTCTCAGAAGGCAAGTAAGCCAAATTGAATATTTCTATCTACTGAGAAATATAGAGTGTCTCATAGACTTAGTGAATTAGTAAGCACTCTGACATTAAATCTGTCTCCCCCAACCACCCAGTTACCGATTATCCCCCCCCCCCCAACTTTTAGGCCCCATGGAACAGATATTCCCTTTACACACCATGCTGTCTTTATCTTGGTGGGCCTTCTATTGTTGTGTTCAAATCATTTCACTTGTCTACATACATGTGGTTGTGAAATTAAAAGACCAATTTTGTGCCTATTGGTTAGCAAAAGCAGCCTATTCCTTCTTATTTCCACCAGTAAGGTCATATTTCCTCAGCTAGATAGAAAGTTCTCAGGTCTATCTTGTTGAAGGTGTCTGCTCAGCTACATACTCAGCTATAGTATGACATCTCAATAAGATGCTTTCATGGGGCGCCTGGGTGGCGCAGTCGGTTAAGCGTCCGACTTCAGCCAGGTCACGATCTCGCGGTTCGTGGGTTCGAGCCCCGCGTCGGGCTCTGGGCTGATGGCTCAGAGCCTGGAGCCTGTTTCCGATTCTGTGTCTCCCTCCCTCTCTGCCCCTCCCCCATTCATGCTCTGTCTCTCTCTGTCCCAAAAATAAATAAACGTTGGAAAAAAAAATAATAATAATAAAAATAAAAAAAAAAAAAGATGCTTTCAAAACTGTACTTGAGATACTACCCAATCTATTCATGGTAGGGTAGAGCTAACAGATAATATAAATACTTTCTCCCAAGTCCCATAGGTTCAGTTTCCCTAGAATGAAAAATGAATTTTCTGAACATCACTTTATTTTCTTTTTGCCAAACTTCAGAGTTCTAACTGCAGAAACCTATGCTGGCAACAAAAATTGATTTTACTTTTCCCTTCTTCCTCTCCTTCCAGAGCCCATCCTGGATATGCCTGTTCCCTTGCCATGATAACTATGCTAGGAGAAGAATGAACATCTAAGTACCATACCTGTAGCAGACAACAAGTTAGCTAGATCCTCATTGGTTCCATCACCAGCTATTGATGAGAAAGTTGCCAGTAAGAAACACTAGGCTACAAACACCAACTTCCCTTAACTTTAATCTACACTGTCAAATTTGGGCCAGACATACCTCTTCAGTCTTCTCTGCTTATAGGAAACTAGTTAATATTTCCCAGATAAGTGCTTTGTGTTTCTGTGGTCTGTAAGGCAAATAAAGAGCCTACTGTGAAATAGCCATTAGACTTGTCAAGTTTGCTTTACTTTGTTATTCATTTATGCAAGTGCTAAACCGATGACTCCATTCTCAAACATTGATAGAATTCACTACTTAAATATTATTTTCAGACCACACTCTTTCCTTGACCACAGGGGATATGGCATTGGAACACGGCTGGTGGAAGATTTTTTGGCTCGATCTTGTGTAAGAAGATGCCACAGTTACTCAGAAATTACAGATATAATTGCCCAGGTAAATGCATTTTTTGTCCTTTCAATATGTTTTGAGAAGCTTTGATTTGTCCTCAGTTCTGTGGTTTTCTTCCCTGATTAGATAGGTTCTATCTGTATTCATCACTAGGTGCTAAGAGATTCTGATCGAAAAGAATTTTATTTTGGCACAGGGATAAAGCTATTGTGAACAGAGATAAATGCTTTTAGGCATTTAAGCATCTATAGATTTTTCTGAACACGTGGTGTGTGTGGAGTGTATGTCCCACACTGGGAAAAATGTTTTGAGAGGTAAACAGAAAGGGAATGTAATAAGGCAACCTCATAATATGCATGCCCCAAATCAATTCCTTTGTATAATCATTTTAGTGCATGGAGGAAGTGGTCTTTGGCTGTCTTATAGAATATTGTTGCAGCCATTTTATTTCCAAAGCAATGTTTTCCCAAGAGAAAAATAAAATTTCTAAGAACCTTTGCAGACCTGATACATGCGAGACAACTTGGAATCACCCAAGACTAGCTCAAATCTCTTAGATATAAGATGATATTGGAAATGCATCCTTAGCCAGAATCCCTTTAATCTGGAAGCCTATGGCTATTAACCTCGGGTTGTTCATTTGTGGGATACATGGAAAGAATACATGGGTATCAGATATTTGTAAGGTTCACCTCTGGGTTCTCACAACAGACCTGTGAATTCAGCCTCGTTCTTTTCTCTCCCAATCCTTAATATTATTGTACATTGTCATACTGACTCTTCATGTGAGTGGCAATAATATTTTTATATAGTGCTTTGTAATTCTAAATGCAGTTTTACATTTTTTTTTTGTCTTTCACACTTACATTATCCCTATGAAGTAAGCAGAGTGGGAGTTATTCCCATTTTCCAGATAAGAAAACTGAGTTCCAGAAAAAATATGACAAAAATTGAAGATTAGTATATATTTTAAAAATGTAGGCATTCAAAAAACACAATCCAAATAAAAGATTTTTCCCACTTCTTGTTATAATTACTCTCATTATTTCATGGCTAGTGATCATGTGGTTGAAACTGAAACCCAGGTCTTCCAGTCTCAGTGTGGTGAGTTTATCACACAACTAAACAGTTTAAAAAATTCCCTTTCCATGTTTGCAGAATATAACTAAAGTGATAAACAGTAGTTAGAAAAATAAAATAACTTTTCACTAGGGCAAATGTATGGGCGATCCTACAAAAATACTAGATGTTTTAATGGAAAATATTTGCACTATATAAATGTAGATGGTTGTGTTCTATTTCTGTAAGAATGCCATTGGAATTTTGATGAGAATTGCATTGCAAAAACAGATCACTTTGGATAGTATGGACATTTTAACAATATTAAATCTTCCAATCTATGAACATGGGCTGTCATTCCATTTGTTTGTGTTTTGTTTGATTTCTTTCATCAATGCAAGTCTTTCACCTCCTTCAGTTCATTCCTGGGTATTTTATCCTTTTTTGCTGCAATTGTAAATGGGATTGTTTTCTTAATTTCTTTTCTGGGTAGTTCATTGTCAGTATACAGAAACTAATTTTATGTTGCTTTTGTATCCTGCAACTTTGCTGAAATCATTTCTTAATTCTAACAGCTTTTTTGGTGGAATATTTAGGGGTTTCTTGCATTTAAGATTGTATCATCTGTGAAAAGAGATAATTTTACTTTTTTCTTTCCAATTTGTATGCCTTCTATTTCTTTTTCTAGCCTAACTACTCTGGCTAGGACTTCCAGCACTAAGTTGAGTAGAAATGGTGAGAGGAGGCATCCTTATCTTGTTCCTGATCTTAGAGGAAAAGCTTCCCGTTTTCTACCATTGAGTATGGCAATGGGGAAAAATTTTCTTCAATAAATGGTGCTGGGAAAACTGGCTATCCACATGCAAAAGAATGGAATTAGACCCTTACACCATACATAAAAATGAACTGAAATGGATTAAAATGTAAACATAAAACCCAAAAGTGTAAAACTCCTAGAACAAAATAGGGGGAAACTTTCATGACATTAGTCTTGGCATGATTTTATGGATATGACATCAAAAAGCACAGGCAACAAAAACAAAACAAGGAAGTGAGACTACATCAAACTGAAAAGCTTCTGCACAGTAAATGATCAACAGTGAAAAGGCAACCATGGAATAAAAGAAAATATTTGCAAACCAAATATCTAATAAGGGGTTAATGCCCAAAATATGTAAGGAACTCCTGTAACTCTAGTTTAAAAAAACTAGTAACTGAGTTAAGAAATAAGCGAGGAACTTGACTAGATATTTCTCCAAAAAAAAGACATTCAAATGGCCAGCAGGTATACATAAAAATGCTCAAAGTCACTTACCATCAGGGAAATGCAAATCAAAACCACGCTATCACCTCACCTCACCTCACCTCAGGTATATATTTGCATTTATATTTATATTTATATTTATATTTATATTTATATTTATATGCAACAAGTTTTGGGAAAGATGTGAAGATATTGGAACCCTCCACACCATTAGTGGGAATTCAAAATGGTGTAGCCACTATGGAAAACAGTTTGAAAGTTCCTCAAAAATTAAAAATAGAATTGCCGTAAGGCCTGCCGGTCCCACTTCTGGGTACTTGTCCCCCCAAAAATTGAAACCAGGATCTTGAAGAGATTTTAGCACCCTTATATTCATTGCATCAGTATTCACAATAGCCAAGATGTGGAAAAAAACCTAAAAGGCAATTGACAGATGACTAGATTTTAAAAAATGTGGTATATACATACAATGGCATACTACCCAGTCTTTAAAACAAAAAAAGAGAGAGAGATTCTGCAAGTGAAACAACATGGTCGAAGCCAGACACAGAAAGACAAGCACTGCCTGATTCCACTTAGGTGACGTATCTAAAATATTCAAATTCATAGAATCAAAGAGGGGAATGATGGTTGCCAGGGGCTGGAGGAGGAGGAAATGCGGAGTTACTAACTAATGGGCACAAAGTGTCAGTCAAGCAAGATGAATGAGCTCTAGAGATCTGTGGTACAACATTTTACCCATAGTCAACAATAATATATTGTACACTTATAAATGTATTAAGAGGGTAGATTTCATGTTAAGTGTTCTGATTTCAATTTTTAAAAAGCTTAGAAGAAAGAGATCTGTTTGATATAAAACTAAGAACATATAAAATCCACTTTCCAAATATGTTTCCTCTAAACTTTTTGTATGTTTCTGATGTCCTGTAAATTCTTATCTGCTCTCCATCCTCAACAAACTGGGAAAAAACCCACTCCACTCCTATGCAAGATTCCTTCTTTTCAATGAAGACAATATTTCATCACCCTTACCCTTCTCTGGTGCAGAGGGGTTGTCTCCTGGCCTTTGCAGTTTCTTTCGAGGGCCCAGTTTTTTCTCTCAATCATTTTCACTTCTACAGCAAAATGTTCTCTTACATGTGGGAATGATGTCACCGAATTCAGAAGCATTTTAACACAGAGGAAGGGGCAGAACTTAGTTACATGCTTGCCCACTGATGCTTTGCTTATAATTAGCAGCTTTCATTAAAAGGTCTGGCCTTCAGCAGCATTATCTCATTAATCCTTGTGAACTCTCCCGAGGGGAGGCAGGTGTCAAATGTTACAGAGTAGTTTTAGAGAGGAGTGGAGCAAGGTCAGAAGAAATTTACCACAGTCTTATGGCCAGGGAGCATTGCAGGGTCAGGATTAGAACCTAAACCCTGTGATTTTTGTTTGGCTGCAAGCTCAGACAGACCATGCCTTTATACAGAACACCATCCTCATCCTCGCGCGGACTCAGCGTCTGAACAATTAGCTTTAGGCCCCAAAGTGCGCCATCTAGTGGTCTGAAAAGAAATCCCATGGCAGGCCAAATCATTGCTCGAAAAAGTCTGTAATCAGGCCTTACATTTTACATAAAAAAGAGATGCCAGGCTAATTCTAAAGTCACATTCCTGCAACATCAAAATGCATCCATTTCTAAAATATGATTTTATCATATACAAGTTACTTTTGTGGTAATTGCCTCAGTACTTCACACTTCAATTAAGACATATAAATTATAAAAATTGCCAGCAGCGTTGCAACATGATATTGCAAAACTTTAATGATACAGTGTCTTTCTTTAGAAAAGCTCAAAGTAGTTGCCACTTATTATTTCTTCCCCTTACAAGAGTCCTGTGAAGTAAAAATGGTATCTATCATTAGCCACATTTGACTGATGATGTAATTCAGATTTAGGATGATGTCGTCGCCAGTTACATAGTCATAAAAGCCAGCTTACAATTTAATTTTTCTGAAAAAGAGGGAGAGAGAGAGAGAGGGAAGCAAACCATAAGAGACTCTTAAAGATAGAGAACGAACTGAGGATAGCTGGAGGGGAGGTGGGTTGGAGGCTGGGCCAGAGGAGTGAAGATTAAGAAGATTAAGAAGATTAAGGAAAGCGCTTGTGATGAGCACTGGGTGTTGTATGTAAGTGATGAGTCACTGAATTCTACTCCTGAAACCTATGCTGCACTGTGTGTTAACTAGAGTTTAAACAAAAATTTGAAAAGATACAAAGAATTTTTCTGATCTTATTCTAGTGCTTTTCCCAAAAATTGTTTCTTTAAAATGTACTTTTGAAGATTTTCTCCTGTTATGACGGCTGTTCTGAGAAAACTGAAAATGTGGAAACTGCAGTAGAGTTAACATGGCCGATTTTAGTTGTAGTGATGAAACATTGGAGCGTTTAAGTGTAATCTAACAGGCACAAATCTCTGAGTTTATTATGAAAGCAAGGCAAAAATACAGTTGTACCTTACTCTGGTCTAAGGTCTAAAACACATTTCCTTAGTTATGCAAAAATATATTTCATGGTTTCCAAATACATTCATGACAAACGTTTTATTATTAAGAGAAGTGAATTAGAGACTAATTTAATCCTTTACTTTTTTAATGTTTATTTACTTTTGACAGAAAGAGAGAGAGAGAAACACAGAATCTGAAGCAGGCTCCAGGCTCTGAGCTGTGAGCACAGAGC